TGTAACTAATTGTCTTCTCATTTGAATGACTGAGATCTTGTGATCTAATGATCTGTTCACCTCTTCTAGTTAAGTAATACAATTTCTTTCTGATAGCTTTAGAATTAAAAGGATGTCATTGAAATGTCATAGCTGTCCTGGCTAGTGTGAACTATTCAAAATTATTCTTAAGGTGCTACTCAGAGGTCTGTCGTCTTGACTGTACAAGTGGTTTCATAATTACACATTCTTCCAAAGTTCTTCTAGTAATATTTTTTATTCCTGTTAGGAGGAGGAGGAGAACACATGTTACAAAATGCAGAGGAAAGACTGATAAACAGATATTTCTGTTAGTCCACTATCTGTTTGAGAGTTGCTAGGAAAATAATTAAGGCAGAAGAGGCCAGGCACCAGATGTTTTGGCTTGTATCTGAGGTTTTGTAGTGTGTATATCTTCCAACAGTTGAACTTTTTGCTTTCATGTCATGTTTGAAGCTTGATGACTTCTGTTGCTTCAGATTCCAGGAAGTAACTGAAAGATTGGGTGCTTTATGGCTTGAGCCTCCTTTCTAATGCTTTGTCTTTGCTTTGTCCTCTGCTTCCACTATTTGTCCTAACTGAGTCAAAAGGGAAATCATGCTGGCACTGGATGAAGCTGAACACAGTATTGGTTCTACAGCCAAGTGTTGTATCAGTCTGAAAAGCAAAGTAAGAATAAGACTGAGGTTTGGGACACAAGCAGCCTGCCTGCACAATGTGTGATGTGGGAAAATGGGTTTGAGCTAGCACAGTCAGGCCAGGCTAGTCAAGAATTGCTGGAAAGTCAAGTTCAGGCAAGATCAGAGTCTTAAATCAGTCTGTGGCATACCTGTAACCGACAAGCATACTTGATCAGGAAAAAGCAAGTGCTAGGACTTTCTTATACCAAATAGTGGGGCAGACCAACAGTGTCCTAAACCAGCTTCTAGCTTCCTAGCTTGCTGATTCCCTAGTTGAGAAGGATGCAAGGACCTGTAATCAAGAAAACTTCCTTGCCTAGGAATGTTTACTTAGCTATGAATTGAGCTTCTTGTCTTTTAGAAAACAGTAAGAGGAAAGTGAAGTGCCATCGGGACAGGCTATGTGAAGTAGGGTGGTGGACCTAAGTGGGAGCAGACAATACATGGTGATGCTTCTGCATGCTGTGTTACAGGGAAGGCCAAGTTAAGCAAGCGTTTTGGAGAGTGAAGGATGTTGTTTTGCATTGCATTCCAAGGTATCATGACTGACGTGACAATAACTGACAGCAGAATATTGCAGGGGTGCTGAACTAGCTCTGTATGTGCTGTATAGGTGTACAAAGGATTATGGAGCGTTCTCATAACGAGACAAGGTACTGAGACGAGGAATACCTGTGCAGGTGACAAAGCAGAGCTGTTGCAAGGAGGGAGGAAGATAGTACTTTCATCGCTCATTTTCTGAGTTGGGGGAAGGGATTAGGGAGACATTTGGGTGTACTGTGGCATGACTTTTTCAGGAGTTCAAAGATATTAGAAAAGCCTTGTGCTTAGATGCTTCAAAGATGATGAAGACTGGCCAGCCAAGCTGGAACAGTATACATACACTTCAATTACGTACCACTGCTTAAGAAAGTAGTGAAATGGGTGCCAGTGTTGTATAGCAATTGGATATTTATGGCTAGACTTGCAAACGTAGATGCCAAAAGAAGTCTGGACTTGCATTAAAGTCTCCTCAATCCCTGTTTAAAAAGAGAGCCAAAGTGGAATTATGAGTACTTCATTGAAACCAAGTTGCTAGCTTCTTATTTCAGGATTTGGAATTTCCTTTGAGGAATTAGATCATTCAGTTTACGAAAAGTTGTCACAAGTGACTCAGACCAGCAGGTAAACAGAGACATTTGGTGGCTGCTACATCAGTTCTATTATTTATTAATCCCAGTCGTTATTGACATCTCCATATTTATTTGCTAACTTCAAACTGAAGATTGAAAAATGTTGCTTAAACCATTCTTTCTAACACAGTGGAACTGCTGCAGTTCACCCAGATTACTTAAATCTATGCTGGAATTTCCCCTGCACCCACAAAGTTTTTTGTCATTCTAGTGACACCTTTCCAAAAATAAAGGCATAACAGAAAGTTTGTTTTACAAAAATGACGGGTAAAGTAGTTAAACCTTTAACCTGTCATGAGTTTGAAAGGCAGGTTTCAGTACAGTTAGAGATAATCCTTACAGTTTGTAGAAAGGCTTGGATGACTTAGTTTTGTGGATCTATTTGTACGTTTAAAATAGTGCCAGATGAATTAGATTTGTGGTGTGAAATGGTTCCTAGTAGTCCATGGTTGCAAAAAGTCTATGTAGGGAGGAAAATTATTAAATTATAAAAGGAGGAGTGGAAAGATGGTTTTGTTAGGTGTGAAACTTGCCAAAGAGTCCGATGTTTTTTTGGTGACAGAAGTCTGGGGAGAGACCTTCTGTATTGTTGGACATTGGGTCAATATTATTTCATTATTGCTTTCTCCTTGCATCCCTATTACTTAGTGAAGCTTTTTCTTGCACCTTGAATAAGCAAAAAGTTACTCACAGTGTGTTTACAAGAGGAGAATTAAATAGTACCTGGCTTCTTGATTTCCCAGTCTGTGAATAATGTGATGTTCATCAGTGATGGCACAGATGGACATTAACATGAAGGTGCTCTAACTTTTATCTAAATGATCTTAGAGACAATGTTGTATGCTAAGCACCTAACAGATGGCATGATTCCAAGCGATGCGGTGAGATTACTGCTGAGAGGGGAGTTCTTGCCTTGCTCCTGCTGCTTACCTTGTAGGAGTGTCTGTGTTGGATCCCCTTCCCTCCCCCTTCCCAACTTCTTCCCGGGGAACAAAAAAATCACCTTTCTGCTGGAAAAGAGCAGGTAACTTGATCTGGTAAGTGCCGGAGCCAGTGCAGGTAGGGAACGGAGACCTTCCTCCCTTGGCAATAGAAGCAGTTGTGTTAGCTCAGTTGCTAACAGAACTGTAACTAAAAGGTGCAGTTCCTTGAGCAGTAGAAATCAGACTTGCCCCAAAAAAGCGGTCGTGGGCCTAATCATCCCGTTAAGGCTGGTGATTCAGGGCCGCCTTTTGTCTTTGCTAGGCTAGTGTAGAGCAGGGGGACAGATCTAGCTAGTGGGGAAGGAATGGTCTCAATAGTATTTTGAGTGGCCTCAAGTTATTCACAAAACTGCAGTTGGTGTAACTACATTTAAGTCTCTAGCAAAAACTTAAGCAGCTTTCACGTTTAAGCTTTTTTTTTTTTTTTTCAAATTGACTTCCGGGATCCTGCTGTTCTTTTTGAGAAATGTGCACTTGCTGGGAAGAGGTTGGTTTAATATTCTTACTCAAGGCTTTCTCTGAATGATTCCTTATTTGATATTTAAATCTCAGAAAGAAAATGCGTGTTATCTCCTCACAGATAATTGTTGCTTATCAATAGTGACAGTTAGCTTTAATATAGGAGGCTTTATTCAGAATTTCTTTTATGGGAGAATAGTAATGTGGTAGAAGAAATACTATTTATTAATGTTTTGCAACATGTTATTGTAGCTTCATTAGGAGTAGATAATTTGAAAATGACTGTTGTGTGAGTGTGTGTGTGTTGTTTTTTTTAAGGAAAGAGGAAAAAGCCTTTATATCAAGCTGTGCTTAGTGAGCTGGATTGTGATATCCTGATTCTGTTTTCTAGGTTTGTCTACTGACCCAAGTTCTATCTACAAACTTTGGATGTTATTTCAAATAAATGACAATACTACATATACAAATAAAGAGATGCTGTTATCTTTAAAAAGAAATCTCATCCTGTTTTTTTTTTTTTTTTTTGTCACCATGTTCATGCTTCAGTGGTGTGGGTCTTCAGAGGAAATTGTGGAGATGTCTTTCATACATGTCAGATATAAGCAATATCATATTTACACACAGACATATATATATATAAAACTTGTGCAGTCTGAAAGAAAGTTCAGGAGATTGAGAAGAGAATATAATAGCTGTGAAACTTAAGAAACATTCTTAGAATTGTTGCATCGGTACCATAGATAATGAATATTAGTAGTAGTTTACCTGAAAAACCTATTCAATAGACTGTAAATGTGGTTGCTGTGAAACCGTAAGGCCTTTAGGCATCCGTGTGCCATCTAGGAGGTCTATTGATTTTTGATCTGTTGTTCCAAAGTGTATAATGCAAGTAACTTTGAGTGAAAGACATCTCGAGACCCCTGTGAAATACCTTAGTGCTCCATGTGACTATTACTAGGAGGTCCTAGACATTTGTTTGCATGGCTAGACATGAAGGGCATTGTAGGTTTCTGAGAAATGCATGAGATGATGCTACCTCACTTCATAGCATGCTATAATACAAGCAATTGGCCTACTCATAGGAGTAAATGAATTTCTTTGCCAAATTCCTGCTTATTTTAAAGGCTATGAATCCATCTAAAGGACTGTGAGAAACTGATAAATGCATGTACGTGTGAGTAGATCTTCCAGATCCTTGTACACTGGCTTTTTTTAAATGCCTGTGATGTTTTGGCAAGATCATGATACTGAGCTCTAATTATTACCAAGAGTCTTAATCTGTTTTTCCATTTTTCTCTAAATTAATCCTCTATAAGATACAAAAATCCCCACTTGAAAAGCTTTTTCTGAGCCCATACTTGCTTGGCTATGAAGTTGTGCTAGGTAATGCATGAAGAACAGTTCTTTTTTGAGTCTTAGAGTCCTGGTAACACGAAGGTACTTTATATGTGCTAGATGAAGAAGTAGCATCATGCAGTAGTTATTAACAAGAATCCTGAAAGAATACTATATCTTGAGTAACTGTCCATGGTTTCTGTTTCTGTATTGCGTATTAATTAAAGTGATCCTGCTTAGATTATGCCTGCTTAGTTCAAATAATGGTATTGATCCTGCATTTATCAGTTGATATCAATATTTAACTGTTCATGACTTGATGTATAAGTAAGCTAACAGTGTCTGTAGTAATGCTAAAATAGTTGTCCTGTTGAACAAAACTGTTGAATAATTTATTGTGTATTTTAGGTATTGAAGGTGATTTATCTCTTGCATCATGCGTGAATACAAGCTAGTAGTTCTTGGTTCTGGAGGTGTTGGAAAGTCTGCTTTGGTAAGTACTCTGTAAGCCAATTCAAGTATGTTTTGTTAGGCTTCTCATATCTTGCTTTTTCTTTTCTATGCTCTCTACACTATATTTCTCTTACGGAAGTTTGTACAAATGCTTACAAATTAAAGTAATGACTGCTGAGGGTTCCTGGCTAGTATAGGTACTTCCTTACCTATGCATGTCAGCACTTCCTGGATTTGTCTTCGTTCATTGGTCCTCATTACATGCATGCTGCTGTTTTTGGACTGGGTTGGTTGATGATGCTTGATCAAATCTTTGCCTGTGTTATGCAGTGAGGCAAACACTGCCTAACCAAAGTGTTACGGAGGTATCTGGCTTTACTGGATAACCTTGCCATAAGTTTGTGGGAAATCAAGTTGCTTTGTGAAACTGGCAGTATTAATGTGTTTGCCACTGTCTGTCCTTATTAACTTCTGTCTCTAGAAAGCTTGGGGTACTGTTTGCTTAATTTTTGGCAATCCCAGAAGCACTCATTGTTTTATGCTGATACTTCTGTGTATTTGCATATTTGTAGATAGGTTAGCGTTTTTTTCCTCTATAAACAGTTGTGTAGTTGTAGCAGGTAGACAGTTGTAAAACAAAGAGCCTGTGCATTTTGGTTAAACTGTTACAGAAAAATTTAGTTACTCTGACCTAGACTAGCACTTAGCAAAAGTTTTAGAAGGGCTGAGAACATCATATTCTCTAAACTTTAGATCTTTCAGTTTAATTGTGCATCTTACAAGGTCTAGAGGTCTGCTGTAGTCAGGCAAGCACTCTTCTCTTGCCAAGCAGTTTCTAAAGGAAAACTTTATTGACAAATCATGATAGATTGTGAAAGAACTTTTTCCTTCACCTCTGAATTCTTTATCTTGCTGTAGCATTTCCGGAGTTGAACCTGTCTGCTCTGACTTGGCCATTGAGTCTTAAAGTTCCACTTGACTTGTGCTAAAAACGTCCTACGTGCTAGGTATACAGGAATATCCCATAGAGACTAGCTAAGACTAGTAAATGCTGGCAGTCATTTTTCACTGATTTCTGTGCTGGGAAATGAATAGCAGAAAATGCAGCAGTTATAAATGCCAATGTAAAAGCCATGCAGCTGTATTCAACTAAAAACTAATAATGACACCAACAGTTAGGCAGACTTTTAAAATAAATGCATGTTTTAATTCTTATGTTCCAAGTGAAGGTGGATAAAAGGTGTAGTGTTGCTTTATTTAACAGTACTTAGTCAAATAGGCATATACCTCTAACTTCCTGTCATTTCTCATAATTTATAGTTAAATCAATCATTTAATTTGTTTTCAGAAAAGTAATTAGTAACTGAGTATACATCTAGAATAATAATTTGGGTATAATGTTTACAAAATATCACTCTACAAGAAGGATCTTACAGGAACTTTTGTGTTGCAGACTGTACAGTTTGTTCAAGGAATATTTGTTGAAAAATACGATCCTACGATAGAAGACTCCTACAGAAAGGTATATGCAACAGATCTCTCTACTGTTAAAAAATTCAAGGATTTGATTAAAACTCCAGTAGATGTTGTCAAACACTAGAGTCCTTGCTTGATTACAGGGTGTGCCTGGTAAATGCAACATAGTATCTGGTAACTTAACAAGTTTGAAACAGAAGGATGCTCACTGAGGCATTGTTATGCTTCTTGTTAGAGGTGTTTTGTCTCTTGAAAAGTTTATCTGAAAGAAATAATTCAATACTAGGCTTTTAATACTGTCTCACTAGCTAGTGAGTAAAAATGGCATTTTCATGCTCAGAATTGGAGATGTTGATTTCCAAAAAAAAAAAAAAAAGGAAAATTTTTTTTTCCTGTGTTAAATGCTCTAGTGGTTATGCATTTGAGTTAGTACAGCTAAATTTGGTCCTGAATTTCAGTTTCTAAATCTCTTTGCTACTAGTAAAATCCACTCCAAACAAATCCGCTCTCCAGAATACTGGAGGCAACATACTGTATTCTTAACAGTTTCAGTTACAGGTTGATATGCTTCCATTGGGGTGGATGGGCCTTATTACTTAAGTTGACACAAACCTATCGTAAATGGGCCAGAATTTACAGTGGCTGTCTGATGGTCTTCCCATCTTCAGTATGAGAGGCTGAAAGGTCTGACTCTTCACTTGCATCATCTTGAATACTGCTCATTTGTCTAGTTCAGCTGAGGCCATGGTTAATATTCCAGGCTGAGATGGCTTACACCTGGACTGCTACCAAAAGAGTTAACCTTGTGGTGAAGCTGATTAGTTTTCAGCTGTATTGGTTTCTTAGTTTTGTTTTCTTAACTTAATTACTTTTCAGATGTATTGATTCTCTGATGCAGCTCACCATGTGGTCACAAAAATGTGTGTGTACAAGGGAGGCAAGATGCACCAGCCCTATCTGGGGATGGGAAGAAATTGCAGGACTTCCTCTGTTGGCAGTAGGCTGCATTTATGTTAGAGTAAAGAGACTGCATTAGCAACTCTTGCAGTCTGTCTTGTCAAAATCTCTTCTGAACAGAACAGGAATTACTGGAAGCTGATGGAAATCTGTACACTGGAAAATCCTAGTTTGTTTTTAGCAAATGGGGATTCAGCTAGAGCTAGAACTGTCATATTAAAGAAACAACAGCAACAGCAAATTCAATCTGGCAGCTTACTACTTCTAAGTACGTTATATCAGAGGAGCAAGAGTTTTGGACCCTATCCAGATGTTTGGTGGGCTTGATCCAGCAAAGGCCTGCAATGAATGACTCTGAAAATTGCAAGCTGTAATGAAATGAAGTGTTTCTTTTATTATGTATTTACGTTCTTCAGGTCATATTAGACATGTGTTATTTGCTGGATGAATTTTCCAAAGAAAATTCCAAGAATTTCCATGGATCCTGAAAAAAGTGAAGCCATCTCAAGAAATTCTCCCTTTTGTTTTGAGGGGTTTGGGGGAGTTTTTTATTTTTGTTTTTAGATCTTAAAATTTTAATTTCAGGTTTGGTCCTGAAGTGACTATGAATATTTCTTCATAGATTTCTTTTCAAATCAGTCAGATTGTCTGTCTTAAGTCTGGACAATGCTTTGTGCATTTGCTTTTCTCCCCTCACCGCTAGTTAGCGCTCTGAGTTGCTTCTTGACTTGGCTGTTTTAAAGCATATTGTTTTGGCAGTTGCCATTCTGTACTGGTTAAATCTAATTTTAAAATGTTTGAAGTTGAAAGGATGTGGCTTTAAATATTAAAAGTTTGTCTGAAACTGGATTCTAAAGCTAATTGAGCACCATAATTGAGCATACTGATTGAAAATTGAAGCCTTGGTTTACTCCCCAATTGTTTCTCCCTAAAGAGAATAAAGGCTAATTAATTGACTGAGTACTTTTTGTCAGCAATATATGGTAAAATAGTGGCTATTGAAGGAATCCTCATCCCAACGGGGCATGTGAGAGTGGGAGGAGGAGAAGTGAGGGGAGGAAAAATGAATTTTTTTTCCTCACAGAAACTTAAATCTAGTTAGGAAAGTAAAGCCCAAAGTTAAGCTAGTGCTAATGCATTTATTGGGGGGGAAGAAAACAAAGCTCTTCCTGAGTGTTGATCTGCCAGCTATGAATTTTAAATGCAAATGCAAACAGATGATGCATACTGATTAGCCTAAAAGAAAAAAGTATGGGCAGCCTGTGTTGTTACTGCTGATAAAGATTTCCCTGCTTGAACCAGCCTCAGGGCAGTTACATGTTCTGTGCTGCCCTCACAACCATTTTTCTGGAGATCAAAACTAGATAGAGGACCTGTGAACTAGATAGAGGGACGATCTGACTTCTTAAACCTTCTATTTATGGAAGGTTTTTTTGAAGCTGGATAAGTTTCCTAATTAGTGTCACTAAAGGCTAGATTTTGGGAAACCAGTCTTATTGGCTTGCTGTATGTTATGAACCTGTCATTCTGTCATAGATCTAAATTACTCTTAAATGACCGTTAGTGTGGCAGTCTGACTGTTAGCTTTCACCTGTACTTTTCAGTTTGAATAACCACTGAAACAAATAGAAATTAATTGTGCTAGTTGCTGATAACCATTATTACAAATTTAGCGACTTTTTTTTTTTTAATAAACAGAAATGCCTAATCACTTTGGGAAGTGATACTTGACTACTGAAGCTTCTTTTGCAAATGTCACTGACTCTTTGGAGAGCTGCTTCCTGCTGTTTTCAAAGTGTATATCCATATAAACTTCTTATGCCATTATGTTGCCTTATGCGTTATAAGTTTACTTATAAAATCATACAGTTCCTAATGTCTTTGGAGGGGAGAGTTACAAGAGGACATATTCTAACCAGATCTCTCTCTTTTGGCAGCAAGTTGAAGTAGATGCACAACAGTGTATGCTTGAAATCTTAGATACTGCAGGAACGGTATGTAAAATGAACTTTCCTAAATGTTGATGTATAGTGTTAAAGTCATCAAGCTGTGGGAATGTAAACGTGACATGACAGGTGTTTCCTTGTTCTCTAAAGAGAAACTCTGATCAGTGTATTATTTAAAGATTGTTCTTCAATATGTCATGTTTAAACAAAACTCAGAAGTATTACAGCAGAAAAAGAATTGCAAGTTTCCTGTGATCCCTTATACTGTAATAGGAGGAATGCAGGATTAAGCATTATAAAGCTGTGCTGCTGCTGCTTAAGTTTGCAATGCCTAGAGGCAAATTTAGGTTACTTAATTGAACAATTGAACGGTTTTGACTTCCATTGCTGCAGAGAATCCACGCTTTCTTCTCTTCTCCTTTTTCTTGTGTGTGCAAAATGAATTCTGACATTGGGATAAAAATAGCATTGCTTTAGTCAGCTTATGTGAACTCAAAGCACAGGGCTTATGCTGACCTTTTACATACTGGTGAGTTGTGTGTGGGAAGGGTGGGGAGGAATGGAAGAAGGCTTCACACTTGTGATCCATTTGTGACCTGAAGTATATGGCAATTTCTCTAAGGGGAGTGCAAATTGAAAGCAGCATCTGTGGGTTTTTTGTTTTTTTTTTTTAATTACAGGAACAGTTTACAGCAATGAGAGACCTATACATGAAAAATGGACAAGGTTTTGCATTAGTATATTCCATCACAGCACAGTCCACATTTAATGATTTACAGGATCTACGAGAACAGATTCTTCGAGTCAAAGACACTGATGATGTAAGCAGCTCCAAAAATGCGTAAAACTTAGCGTACTCATTCCAGATGTTATAACGTATATAGTTTGATTAGATATGTACCAAGCTTTAATTTAAAAGTCAGATCAACCGGCACGTTCGTAGTATTGAAATACAGCTCTTGATATCAACAGGCAAACTGGGAAAATTGTAATTTATCATGTGGTATGTAAAGAGAATTATCTGTTTAAATCTCTTCCTTTTAACGTACTCTATTTGAAACTGTATATAACTTTATTCAGTAGTACTGAAGAAAAAGTTTCTAAAGCAACTCTATCTTTACCTCTACCGCTATTTAATGAAGGCTTTAAAAAAAAGGTACAGTTCAAATTTTCTCCAATATGTTCTCCCTTTATGGTATTAAAAAGCTGAAAATGAATTTTTTTGCAGAAGTCTGTCCTATGGCCTTTAAACTTGTGTTATGTAGTTTTCATATTTTGTGTGTGTACCTACCACTTAGTTTGGTCAAACTGTTTCCAACTATTTCCATACAATTTTAATATGCACTTTTTTGCATTGAGGTTATAAAATGACAGTGAAATATTCCAGGTCATAAAACTTACTACATTTGTAGGAAGTAAATATGTAGTGTTTATTAGTAATTTAGTTTATTAGTAATTCTGAAAACAGACTTGACTGTTGCATAAACAGATAAGTAAGACTGCTCTTTTACAAAAGCAAGGTATTTCTAGTGTGGACAGCAGCAAAAGCATGTTTTAACAGAAACAGCTTGCAGGTTGTAGCCACCAGCCAGAAAACTTCCTTCTTGAGGGGAGAAAAGTGTAAGCAATGAGTATTTTATTAAATATAATCCATTTTAGCTTCCAGCTCTAGCTGTGGCATTTGAACTGTGTGCATGGACATTTTGATGATCCCTTCCTTATTGCACGTATCTACATATCTGCTGTCGTCAGACCCAGGATCTACTAATTTTTTCAGTTTCAGGGAAGTTCACTGTGACTCTTACAATATAAAGCCCTTTGCTTTTTCTTAACTGCAGGCATTTCCAAGTCTTGCGTGTGTTCAGTAGCTTTCTTCTAGAAGGGTGCTAGAAGTGATTTATTACCCAGTATTACAGATAGGATAGTATTGCTAGATTGCATACACCTTTTGCATCCAAAACCTATCAAGTTACAGCTTTGTTTAGCATCAGAGTTGAATTAAAAGCAAGATAAATGGGGGGGATATTTATTCTGACTCACGTACACCTTCTTTGGTGTAGTGTCTTTTGGAATTATATGTCCTATACCTTCTTTTTAGAAAATTCCCTCCAGTCATGAAAGCTGTTCCATAGTAACAAGAGAAAAATAGTGAATTTCGAGTTGTCACTTCAGTTCTGCTCACCAACTTTTCCATAAAATATTTTCTCTGCCAGTGCTTAGGCATGGCTTCCTTTCTCACCAAGGGAAGACTCAAAGATCAAAATGTCATAATCCTTTCTTTAAAGCTTGAATTTGGGGAAAACCTAAATATTGCCTTAGATTTGTAATAAACAAAAAATTTTTTTGGTCATGAAAGGTCAATTTAGCATGTTTGCATCAGCTTACTAATAAGGACTGTGTGAGCAAATTGCCATTGAAACCAGTGCAGATCCACTAGAAGAGGAGTGGCAAAGGGAGCTTTAGCACCCCTCATCAGGCCACCCAGTACAGCCCACCTTTTTCATAATTTTTCTGTACGTGTAAGAGTGGTGTAATAGATTCTTCAGTAGACTACATGATATCTTTAACTTTCACAAGTGACAGCTGTGCACATAAAAATCAAATCTCATGAGGTAATCTAGAACGTGAAACTTGCTGAATTGGTTGCATATATATCTGGTGTATCCAGTGCATCTTTGATGTTCACAACCTACTGCCCACGCTGTCAGGCAGTAGGTTGTGGTGGGCAGTTCTGCCTGATGCCCACATTTCTGTCTGACTTCCAGATAGAAGTGAGAGCCATAGTATACGTATTTTCTCATATCGTGATACAGCCATAAGGGCATTGGTGTTGCTTTGTTTTGCTCTCCCATCTTCCCTCATAAAAAGGAAACTGGTGCTCTCTGTCCTGTTCCTGTTGGTTTTTAAAGGATTTGAATAGGCTTACTGTTCAAAACGTGACTCATCTCAGGCTTTAGGAGGAATAGGTCTTAGCTCCATCACTGTGTGATTAAACAAGTAAAAGTGTTTTTGCTGGGTCATTTGGCTTAGTTTAGTAGGACTAGCAAGTTTCATAAGATTTTTTTTTTTTTTGTAACAGAAACTTGCTTCTAGTGAACTGATGTTTTCTGCCAGAAGTATTATAGAGTATCTTGGACACTAACTTGTTTTGAATATCATAGGACTAGGCTGATCACTTGTTTAAAAAACAAACAAACAAAAAAACTCAAAACAGCAACACAAAACTTCTGTTTTAATTTCTTAACTTAGTAAGCTTTGAATCCTTGCAGCATGGTACTAGTTTAAAAAACAAACAAACCAAAAAAAAACCAAAAACAAAAAGTGGGTTCATAGAGTTAAGGTTGCTTATTAATTCAGAGGTCTCTATTTTCCAATAATCGTAACAAATCCATCTATCTAGCAGACACCCCTCAGTTGCTCTGGATTATTGCTTGTCTGACAAATGGTTAAACTAAAGAGGAAATGTCCCGTGTGTTTATGCATAATGTATGGAGTGGCATGTATATGTTTACATTAGACTTTCCAGGGATGTAGTTTTCTAGCAGCTTCTCATTCTGTCAGCATCATGCACTGGTTCAAAAAGTGGGATTTAGTGGATGTTTTCCACTGCAAAAAGCTCAATTATAGATGACTGTTATTAGTGATTCCCAATCAGAAAAATAGTGTTATGGAATCTTGTTTTCACTTCAGAAATGTGTATAATCAATTGCTTTGCTAAGGCTGTAAAGAAGGAATTTTGCCTACCTCATTTTTCAGTAATTGAGAAGTTTTGGGGAAATACACTGATTGGAAGATAGAGCAGTGCTGAAGTAAACTTTGCTTGATAAGGCCGTAAGAATTTGGCAAGGGACTAACAATAGCTTTGTGTTACTTTTTGCTTTTTTTATTTTTGTTTTTTTGTGAAGCCTCTCCAAAGTCTATTACTTAGAGTACCAACTTTTCCTAATTCTCACATCTTGATGCTTGCTACACCTTCATCCTTGCCAAAAGATTGTATTAAATGCTCACATTCGCTGTGCGTGCTCTCTCTCACTCACGCGCTCTCTCCTGCTCTCTGCAGGCCCTTTTTTTGAGGGCACCTAAGTCAGATGAAGAAAAATAACTGCAGGTCACTGTTACGAGTGTTGCAGGTTTCTGCTGCAGTAGAGTTATTTATCTGTGCTGCTATCTTTATCTCTTTCTCCAGTGTAAAATACTTAAATATCCCCAGAAACTAAAACTGAATTTGTCGTAATAGCTGCTGTTTTACGAAGTTAAGGCATGTTATTTCACTACCCTTTAGAAAATCCTGCTTTGAACTGTGGTTAACATTATGTATCATGTGAATAGGTAACAGTAAGTGAATTCAGCGTGTAAAATGTGTTGCAGAATTTTGCTGCTACCTTAACCCCTTTCCTGTCCTGTTGCTGAATTTTGTGAACAGCTAAATTACTGATAGGTGAAATCTTTATTCAGTAGACAGGAATTTAATTTTATAGTTATCTTGTGCTGGAAAAAAAGTAGTGAGGAATCTTGTTCTTACAAGCTGCCTTGTAAAATTAAGCTGCTTTTTTTTCTTAATTTTGGGCCATGAGGACAAGTAGGTTTGACAGTTATTTCCTGAAGGAGGGAGATGAAACCAGTGCTGCTTTAAAAAAAAAAAAAAAAAAAAAAAAGCACCTATTATCCCTTTTGGAGGTGCAGAAGGATGCTGCCCGTATGAATCCCTCATACAGTGAACTGCACATGTCTCTGTCAACAACTTAAACACTCAAAATGCACTTTGAATCCCCCTCCACTTTATGCGGAGCACTTTTCAATGCTGTTGAAGGTTGTGGGAGGGGGGGGGAATAGTCTTCCTTGCTCAGAACTGTTTGTTATCCTCATGTTGGTAAGGTAAGTACTTCAGAGATGCAAGACTATCTCCTCTCTCCTCCCTCTCCCCCCACTGCCCACGTTTGTGCTTGTCCTTGAAGTAAGCAGCAGGATCTGTTCATGTACTTTCAACCTATGAAAGACATACATCTATGATTACTGTAGAGGCAGAATGAACGCAAACTGTGCTGTATGAGCATGAATGGAAGAAGTTAGTAATTCCTTCCTTCTCATAAATTTTTTCCTTTGTTTACAATAAACAGTGATTTAGTTAGACAACTTGGCCTTATTCTTTCAGTGACATTCACTTAACATTTCATAGCATGTAAGGTCTAAGCTACCAACTGGAACACTAAATAGTGCTGTTAAGCTTGGAAGCATAAACTGGATGAGTGGCAAACTATTGAATATTAACTGATGGATAATGTTGGGCCATGTTCATGTTGTCTCTACAAATTGAATGGTAATTGTGTAATTTGGAGGGTAAGTAACTTGTGATAGCATACTAGTGTGATGCAAAACGGTATCTGGCAGTCTTTCAGGTAAAGGTAGTCTTTCAGTAATATAATACAACGTCTGTCAGTAATACAAATTTAGAATATTTAAGTTTTTGTGTGGTTTTTTTTCTTGACTGAAAACTCCAACAGAACATGGAATAATCTGCAATTCGTGTTTGTACTCTTGCCTGTAGGAGAACTTCAGGTGACTATATGGTGATTTGGTAAGCAATAAACCTCGTAAATGGCTACTTCCCAGTCAGACTGCCAAACTGATTTTTCTCAGTACATGCCCAGATTAGAGCAGACCACATTTAGTAGCATGGACAAATTTCATGGGCAGTGGAGTCCACGCAATGACTTGGGCACAAAGGAAGAAGAGGAAGGGAAGCATGCATTATAATCAGAACATGATTGTAGATGATATGGCACCTACTTAATTCTATAAGTTTTCACATATCCTACTGAAAACAGGATTTAAGATGAACAGGAGAAAACTCCCAGGTAGGATGTGTTGGCCATACTGGCTCAGGTTGTAACTAATTACAAGTGCCTCCTTGGTATGTTTACCAGCTTCGATAGGCAAACTTTCATAAACCTTTTTGCAGTGGATCCTGACTTCCAGAATAATTAGCCTCTAATATACCTCAGCCTGAGTATGCAGTTCTGTAAGACGTTCATCTTCAAAGTGACTGATTTTCTGGTGTTCGGCAGGGTTGTGAGGGGAAATATTTGAGGATTCAGATTGGATTTCAGGTGTCTTACATTGTCTCTTCCCAAAATTGTAATGCTTCCCTTGCTGATATTAGCTCATGTGCAAACAATTTGTTTTTAGGTGCCTATGATTCTGGTTGGCAACAAGTGTGATTTGGAAGATGAAAGAGTTGTGGGAAAGGAGCAAGGTCAGAACCTAGCAAGGCAATGGAATAATTGTGCGTTCTTAGAGTCTTCTGCGAAATCAAAGATAAATGTTAATGAGGTAAGACAAAACACTGGGGGCAAGGGGGTGGGAACAGTGTTCTGGTAAGCAAGCTTTACAGTTGGTCAAGAAAAACTAGCAAACATTGATTATAGTAGACAAAACTGTTATCCTACTGTTGTGATATTTCCTCAGATGTTTATATTATGGGATATAATATAAGCTTTGACTTAATTTGTTTTCCAGTTATTTTCATGTGAACTTGGGATAAATGCTTCTATTTGTTTCAGTTTTTTTTTCTAATGTTGCATTCCCTAGTTGATGTAATCTATAGCCATTGAGGATGCACTGGTAGACTGCCTTTTACATCCTCAAAACTTGCTAATGGATCCAAGTTATGCAGTAATAAATTGTTAGAGAAGTAAGGACAAAATTCTTATGGGTTTTGTCAAAAGTAACAGCTGGTTATAAACAGGGGTGAGGCAAGCAGACCTTCTCTACTATGTATGTATCTGTTTAGCAGGAGCTAGATGATTAATCAAATACATGCATTTGTGGACTTGTCACAGTGCATGTCTTCCTGTCTGGTGGGGGTGCCAGCACACAGAAATTCAGGCTGTGTTAGTATTTGTGTTTCTGGAACAGCTTGAATGTTACGATGTATCCTGCAGTCACTGTGTCTTCTGGAAGACATAGTTGACAGTGTCAGTCAAGCTGAAAGGGCCTCTGTGCAAGAGTTGCATGTAATCAAAAGAATGTGCTTGCTGATTTTAAGAACATCTGATTTAAAAAAATAAATAAATAGGGTAGTGTGTGTTGAATTAGTTGAGAATTTTTGGAGACTACTCATTTTTTCTTAAATAAAAATTTATCAGCTCTAACTATATAAAAGTCATATGTTTAATTAACCAGAACTTATTTCAAATACTAAAAGCCTTTGTTGGAATGTTTGCTGCTTTGTGAATAGTGCTTAGGAGGCTGCTAGGATGACTTTAGCATGAGGACTTCCTTGTTTTAAAATATTTAAGAGATGGAGAAATCATTGGGAAAAAATGTCAATTATAAACAAAGCATATGTTGTTTAATTGTAGTATTTAGATTTGTCTTAAGTTAGCATTTCCCCAGAATTGAGTCTCCTAGAATTCTAATCAGAACAAGTGTGAAAATGTCTCATACTTACTTTTCTAGGAAATGTTAGGCTTTTGTCATGTTGTAGTACTGGAGAGGCTGCTGAATTAATTGCCTAGACTTGTGTTTTGAAAAAAAAAAAAAAAAAGTAGTACTAAGGTATGAAAATAGGCAGTTAAAACTTGCTAGAACTTTTCTAAAAGAATATTAGAGTGCCTTGAGTAAAAAGAAACCTTGCTTCTTGACATAAGTGCTAAATTGCAAAGTAATAGTATATAATGGTTGACAGCTGTGGTATGCATTGTATATTTTCAAACAAATTTGACCCACAGATTAAATAGTTTAATGTTATAGATGCATTTATGGTTTGCTTCATTGAAACTGGAAAACCCTTGGCAGACGGTCAAACTAGAAAGGAGAAAATAAGCAGGTGTTAAGTATACAGTTTAACTTTCTAGCTTTGTGATAACTACATATTTACAATGATTCTTGAGTATGTGAATGCATTACATTCAAGGGTTAAAGTTATGAGAGAAACCTCTTAATTCCAATATGCAAATTCCAATATGCAATTGATTTTTTTATATTCACAGATCTTTTATGACCTTGTGCGGCAAATTAACAGAAAAACTCCAGTGCCTGGAAAAGCACGCAAAAAGTCATCATGTCAGCTACTTTAATACATAGCTGTACTGTAGCTCTGAGCCAGGTAAACTCTTTAAAATTGTCAGGATTTTCTGTGTTATATGGTTATTAAAATTCCTTAGTTATGGTAGCTGTTAATGTGGAACTGCATTGAAAATTCATGATTTACATTAACACAGAAATGTGTACGATATTGATTTTGCCATTCCGAAGTCAGAACTACAAAATAGGTGCAAGGTATGCTGTTCACATTGGTATTGAAACTTCATTCAACCTTAAGGGATTTGCAAATCTCAAACGAACAATACTTGTTCTGATCCTTCCAAATTTGAGCTTTTTGAAAACAGGGTTTTCTTTTTAAAGGCTGATAGAATATACTGCAAGAGCTCAATCATCAGGAATGCACACTCTTAAAATATTGTAGTTTGCGTGCTAAATGTCACTTCCTTCTTTGAACTCCTGCACATATTTGCATAGGATCATAGGAATTTAAGCTTGCTTTCTTTGGACTATATGGGTATTTTATAGGCTGCATTGCAATTGGAAGATTTTTGGAAGATAGTGGTGAAGTGATCATTATAACACTCCAAATGTTTGACCTGGAGTTATTGGTTAGTAGATCAATTTCTTACTTAGTGACAGTTGGCTAATGTTTTACCTGACTAAATCCATGCTTTATGAATCCTGTTGAAGGTTCAAGCAAGCTCCAGCCCGCTGTCGTAGCAGTTTTTTTCAGAAGTCAGTCAGCAGGCATGAATTCTATGTGCAGCTTCCTTGTTTTTGGGCAGGGTCCCCCCTCCCACACCCCCAGCCTTAGGACAAGCAGAGGTCATTTTTTTTGATTGACCTGACAATGCAAATATTACCTGTACATCATGATTACTTTAAGTTTGTTTTCAGCCTTCAGTTTTACTGATCATATGGTGTTTGTATATCTGCTGTGTATCAGAGCTGTTCAAGCAATAAAATTGCATTTGGTGGTTCAATTCTTTATCAGTACTGTGATGCATTATTTTGTCATCTGCCCATTTGATACACTGGAAGGTGATGGTAGGAGACTTCGCTGTGCAGCCATATCGTTAATATGGTGATAACTTGCAGGCTTGTGTTAGAATTCAGTTAATGCTAGGTTTAGTTCTTTGGTATCTATATAAAGCTATTTTGAATGGATTCAAGTAGCTCAAATCAAATAAAACACAGGGTTCCAAAAGTATCAGCTGAGGATCACAGAAATGATTGCTGTGTGTTTGTTTTTTTTTTTTTTTTAAACAGGACATTCAATTTAGGAGATTTGATTTTTCTCCCTCCCCCCCTCCTTTTCCTCCACTGCAACTATCATACTATAAGCAGAACTAGTCCCATCCATCAAATACCACTTCTGCAGTTCAATCTGGATTACTATGTGTATCCCAGTTCCCCTTTACTTAGTGGCATAATCTGTTATTTGTGTGTGTGCAGTAGAAGTGGTGTTAGTAGAGGAAAAGTAATAAGGTAGCTATTTTCAAAGCATGTTTTCTAACAGCTAGCTAGTTACATGAAATAAAGAGCAATGAATATAGCTGCTACTGACACTAACATGTGTGTGGTTTTTTTTTTCCTTTGTTACAGGTTTGAAGAACTGTTGCCCAATTCAACAGTGCCAGCATTCCAACTTTATTAAACCTACCAACATCTTAAATGGACTTTCCTGTGGTGGTACCCTTTAAGAAACGGATGAAAGCTACTACATCAGTTTGCACATTCTAATCACTTTCCAGTGTCACGAGAGATTTTTACTTATAAATATTCTAAGTGTATGCAACTGGTAAAACCAGAGCCTACATCCAGTATTACTGATAAGAGACATTGTTCATCCACCAATGTTGTACATGTATGAAAACTGTGTACTGTATACTTCAACAATCCCCACTTTCTATTGGAGAATACAATAATGTAAATCCTAAAAGCACCACTATTTTAGCATAATAAAAGAAAGTCCAAAGAGCTCCTATATAGACTACTCCAGATAACTTTGCTTCATCGGTATTTGTAGCTTATTGTAACTTTTTTAAAGAAATACAGGATCATCATCATTGTATTGTACAAAGCGCTTTGATTAACACAACAGCTATATAGTTTTTTAATTTTAGGAAAAACCTGTGGAGACAGTGATCTAGTCTTTAAGAGTCCTTTCAGTATAATGTCTGACTAAAGACATGGCCTTTAATATCTGTTGGGAAGGAAATGTCCAGACTTTTCAACCTTTTATTGTATGTTTCCTTTTCCTTGTTTACATAGGGAACAATGTTTATAGTTGTGTGTACAGTGGGGGTCTACAACAAGAAGTGTATATTTTAAAACGATTTTTTAATGATTTAACAATTTTTTGTAAATCATTTTCGGGCTTCTGCAGCTGTAGATTCTCACTGTGAATTCCCTTGCTTGCTCATGCATAAGTGTATTTGCAATACCAAATATACAGGTTTAGTACTTTTGCCTGTTAGTGATTGTTTTACATGTGTAACGTTTTGGTTGAGATGTTAAATGGTGGAAGAGTACTGTGGATGTGAATGTGGGAAGTAATTTTAATCATGTGTAATTGGTCACAGGGCCTAAGTTGCAGTAATTAACTTTTGCTGATTTATTTAACAATGCCTTGTTGCTTTGTATGCATTAACGTTTGGGTGTAAAGATTGTGTGTATATCCAACAGGGAGCCACAGTATTTAAATTGACCAACCTAATGTTACAACTGCTTTGAGGTGGCCAAATGTAAACTAAAAGCCTTAATTAAAGTGGTGCAATTTTGTATGACTTAGCATCAGTAGTTCAATAAATTTGGATTGCCATGCAAGGGCTTGCATTACAGTTATATGCTATTTGAATGTTTTGTGTTTTAGTAGTGCTAGTAAATACTGATTTCAATGTCACTTGCACAGTGCAGATTCATACATCTTAGGACCAAAAGCAACCATTTTGACTTTGTCTCCTGACACATACATGGCATAGATATTTCTTCTACTGGCATCCCATGTGCTAGGGTGGATGAACTTCTGACTGGATGAAACTCCTTTTACAGTTTTGGACTTGGAATATTTGAAGTGCTAAAGTTCTTCTTGTAAGGGAGAAAAAAAGTCTTACAGGAAAATACCTATCTTCAAAGGTTAGACTGTCAGTGACTGTTTCTAGAACTTGAGGATATGTTGCCTGTGGCTATTGCCTTCTTTCCAGGAAGAAGTCATTGCCGAAACTTACATAATGAAACTAAAATATTCTCTTAGGATAAAACATTATATATGGTTTTCTTCTGGGTGATTAAACCATACTTGTTTGGTTTCAAGGAAATCTGCAGAAGAGCATTCTTGCAGTGTTAAGTATAGAGTTTTGCAGACCGTAGATACCTGTTAAAACTGTTGGACTGTGAAGTGGAATGCTTGGACTGTGGATGATCTGATCTTAGTTGCACTGTTGAAAATTAATGTCCCACCCAAATACTTGGTACCTCCTGTTTCTCTGGCACAAAACTATCAGAGCATGCTCTAATCCATTCCTGCAAAATCAATCAGATTAGGCTGGCTCATACCAGTGAACATTGAGCTAGTTTACTTTGTCCAAAATGAACTAAGGAGCTCAGATGATCCTTCCTGCTGGCAGACGCGGTAATTTTTTCAGTGATCACAGTCCTTTAATGGAAGTAATGCACTCCTTCACTATGCAGAGTCAGAATTAAGGTTGATATCTCTTTTTGTTTATCATTAGAAACTTGACCATGCAGTTGATGATTCCCCATAACTATCTGTTTTGGTATCTTCTGCATACTGATCAGTGCCCAGAGTAGAGCATCCAGCGCTCCAGCCTGACCTAGTTCTTTTGCACTAAATCCTTTCCTTCTTGTCTACCCAGTCAGTACCTTTCCTCCCTTCGCTTCCAGTGTCCGTTATTCAGGTCTTCTAACACTTTTACGTTCCCATTGTCATTTTCCCTGTGTTCTTCTCAGTGTATTTCTCTTCCAAGTAGCTGTACAGATGGCAAGGGGGTGGGAGGGAGAAAAAGGGAATTCTTTGACAACATGAGAGGGGTACTGGCTTGGTCTCTACGTCCAGCCAAAGAGCATTAATTATAGGGAACATCAGCTTTGTCCTGGAAGCTTTTCTGGTATAGTAAATGTATAATTTATCAGCATTAAAGGTAGTAAGTTTTGAACAAGCTCCAGGAGAGTAAAATTTTTAAACTTTAGTCTTTATCTCAAGATACTACTAAAAAAGGGAAATAACGGATTTTTTTTGTTTGGGGGGGGGAGGGGGGGCTGTATTTAGAACTAGGCCAGATTTGCAACATTAACAAATTGTAACCCGTGTAATACCTAAAATGTAGCATTTTTCTCCTATGGAAACTTAGGCAAGCTTCAAGGAAGCAGTGTCCCAAGAGTTAAAGGGAAGATGTCTTGACAAAATGATGCTGAGGAAGTGATGGACATGAAGAGTGAGGAAAAACTCATGAAAGAATTTTCTTCATTTCTAAGTAGTTATGGCATGAGGAGCTGCTCGCTCTGAGGAAGTGAACATCTAGTTCCTCACAGTAATCGGAACTATGTAAACAGTAACCACTTCTAGAAAAGACTCCAGTCTGCTGAAATTTTTGAACACATTTTTAAATGTCTTGAGGATAAGTGCTTTGTGTACAAAGCTTAAGAGGTTTATACTTCCGCTACTTCAATAGAAACAGAACGTTGTCCATACTGAAGCAAGAACAACTGAAGAATGCAGGCAGGCCTACTTATATTCAAATGAGTAGGAGGAGAAATGTTCTTTACTCATAAACATGCCTCTTAGAGTGATTAGTTTACTTTGGTCCTTCAAAAAGATATGGTTCTACTTAAAGCTCTGGATGATAACATACATAATTCATATTTTATCCAAATTAACACAGTAATTTTCCAAATTCAGTGCTATACTTATGTATTGCTGCTTACTGATTGTAAAGTTAGTTTATGCTTACAGTGCACACAAAGTTTGTGACTGTTTTTATTTCCACCCTAATCTGAAATTGGTATTTGTCAATATCTCGAGTGTCTGAGCTTTCTGTGGAAAAAGTTATGTTTATGCCCTGAAATATAAAAGTATTATTTAAGTGAATTGCGCTCTTTCCCATTTGCACTTCTTCCTTTCAGTGCAAATTTATTATCCCTTACATTGGTATTAATGCTATTCTTCATTCTCAAATTATTCTGTAAAACGAATGTCTACTTGCTTATCTTAAAGTAATACTTAAGACTTTTCAAGATGTTTTCAGATGCCCAAATGAATGGCACTGTAAACTCAAACTACTACTATTCTCTGCAGAAGAGAACATAAGAGAACTTGTGGAAAAGTACTGTAGAGTTAGATACTAAGTTTGTTTCATAATATGTACTGTGATATTGTGATGCTAGAAGGGGGAGGTGGGAGGAGAATATTGCTGAAGTTTTGATTAAAGCTGTGCATTTCTCTCTGGTTCTGGTGTAATTAGAGTTGCTGTTTTCTCATGGGTGAAGACCAGAGATGAGGATTTTCTTCTTTTTAAAAAGCGAAATGAATTGTGGATGAACCAAGTCATGGATTTTTCTAAAATTTTCTAATCCTTGCCAATTTGGGGGGTTAATTTAAGGAGGGGGAGAAATTCTGCCACAATAGTGAACTCATTCTAGATAAGCTTCAGTTTAAACTTATCAACAAGAGAAAGTTATTCCTTGACCTAAATTGTCAAAAGTGGTGCAGCTATCTGTAACTCTTCTTAATTTTTGAATTGTAATACAAAGATGCAGCTAAGCATCAGTGTAGACAAGAAGCTTTGTAAACTTCCATGGTAAAGCTGCTACCCCAGCAGCATCAAGCTGTACTTCAGTCCATAACTATTTTTATTTAGCCTGTGTATGGGCAGGAGAATAAAAAATAAAGCAAAAGTTGTTCAAATATGTAACAAAGTACAACTGTGTGTGGTTCTCTAAGGCAACATTAGACAAGCAGAACTCATAATTGAATTAAGGTCTTATTTCTCAGTCTCGAGCACCCTATGCTTTCATTTTTTGAGAGTTTTTGAACAACTTGATTCTTAAAACCTAATTTAACTTCTGTTATATAAAGCCAAACTCTGGAATGGTACTTGACTTCCATTTTTTTCTTTATATTCTCAGTCTGGAAATATAAGCAAAGTTATGTTTTGTATTCTTATTTTGTTCTCAGTGTTGACATTTGGGCCTCAAACATACTTTCAGAGTTCAAAAAAGGAAGGGTAAAGCAAACATCTTCAGAATTTTGAATCATCAAGCAGAGGGTGAATGGAGAGAAGAATGTCTTCATAATTCCACTGTATGCAATAAAATAAAACACTTTAATCAGTACTGAATCACTTTAGCCTCAAGAAATATTAGTCATTTCTAACAGTTCTACAGCTTTGATGTTTCAAGAAAGTTCACTGACACAGTTTTTCCTTCAGGATTGTGGCTGGGGTAGACTACTCAACTGAAAGAAATTGTAATTCATGAAATTTTTTTTCCCCTCTCCTACCATAAACCTTCGGAATGTTTTCTCCAATCTTGGATTCAAACTGCAGTTATAGTGGAAATTCTAGTTCCTCCTTTGGTTGGTGTACTTTATCTTTCAATAATATGTGTTGTTTTCTTTTATTTTTTTCCTTCTAGATCTAGCAGGGAGGATTTAGTAACTTCAGTCACATCCTGAGTATAAAAATCTGCATCTGAAATCCTAACTCTCCTAAGTGGGACTCACTGCCTGTGAGGTGCCAAATACAGCAAAGTCCCTTGGCACTGCTATCATGATTTTCAGACACAAGTAAAATGACACCTACTTGTCTATTCTTCTTGCCTTTTTAATAGTTTTATTCATCTGAGCTCCATCCATAAGAGTAGGCACAGGAGTCAAAATCCATTTAGGAGGAGTCCCTCAGGCAGCTGTCATTTGAGAGTCAACATTGGCATTTTAATACAAGCAAGTATATGCCCACTTTCAACCTTGAGAGTGGAAAAAAAAATGTTTATGCTTTAAAAAAAAAATTGTGAAGAATTAGGCACTTCCAGGAACGTTTGAACTAGGAGAAGATGGGCTAAAACATGAGATTTCTTTCATTCTCATAACAAGAAACAAGACATAATGTAAGTAGCATGGGGTTTTTTTTGTACTTAAGAAAGCTCAGCTAATGTACTCTTGCTGCTGTCATACTTAACTCATAACTATCAAAAGCAATAGCATAAGAAACTGTGTTAAGAATGTTGAATTTTGGATATGCAAGTATCGTGTATGCAGTTTCACAGTACACTGAGGTAATTTATTTTGATGAAGTGACTATATAGAAACATGCATTGTAAAGGGTAATTTGAGTTTTAAGTTAGTCTACTTTACTCTAACTTAGTGTATCCAGTAAACACTAACTTTTTTTATAAAGCTAGTAGTCTAATACCCTTATAGTGTTGGGACAGAGAGGACTTTTGGGTGATAAACCTGCTATGATTCTGTGTTAGCAGTGCTTGCTGCTGAGTTTTTTTCACTAGTCCTGCCTGTAACTGTGGAGCATTACCAGTCCTCTTGATATCCTGACAACATGGGTGCTGTTAGGATCGGTGTTGATGTAAATATGTAAAACACAAGATGGATTTATAAACTTTAGTATTATAAATTTGGGGTGTTCTGTATATTTCAGGCTAAAGACACACGTTATATGTAACAATGGACTGGTAAATTCATATTCCCTTCTGTTCCTTGGGAGTGTGAGATGCTTGCATGAGAGACTGTTTTGGTTTATTTTCACCCTATCTTTTTTCTTTTCCTCCTACACTAGTCAAAAAACACCTCCCCCGAAACACACTTCAGACT